GGGACTACAGGCATGCACCACCACGCCTGGCTAATTTTTACATTTTTAGTAGAGATGGGGTTTTGCCATGTTGGCCAGGCTAGTCTCGAACTCCTAGCCTCAAGTGATCTGCCCACCTTGGTCTCCCAATGTGTTGGGATTATAGGTGTGAGCCACCATGCCCAACCAATTCTTTCTTTTTTCTTTTTCTTTTTTTTTTGAGACAGAGTTTTACTCTGTCACCCAGGCTGGAGTGCAGTAGCATGATCACGGCTCACTGCAGCTACAACCTCCCTGGCTCAAGCAATCCTCCCACCTCAGCCTCCTGAGAAGCTGGGACTACAGGCGTGCGCCACCACGGTCGGCTAATTTTTTGTATTTTTAGTAGAGGCAGGATTTTGCTATGTTTCCCAGGCTGGTCTCAAACTTCTGGCCTTAAGCAATCCTCCCACCTCAACCTCCCAAAGTGCTGGGATTACAGGTGTGAGCCATTGCACCCAGCCAAATGTAGATTCTTTTTATGTATGTATGTGTGTATGTATGTATTTATTTTTGAGACAGAGTTTCACTCTTGTTGCCCAGGCTGGACTGCAGTGGTGTGATCTCGGCTCACCGCAACCCCCGCCTCCCGGGTTCAAGCGATTCTCCTACCTCAGTCTCCCAAGTAGCTGGGATTACAGGCGCCTGCCACCACACGCGACTAATTTTTTGTATTTTTAGTAGAGATGGGGTTTCACCAGCTTGGCCGGGCTGGTCTTGAACTCCTGACCTCGTAATCTACCCGCCTTGGCCTCCTAAAATGCTGGGATTATAAGTGTGAGCCATAGCGCCCGGCCTCAAATGTAGATTCTTAATCAGAGGAGGAGTGAGGAGTGATCTCTCTCTCTGTCTTTCTCTCTCTCTTTTTTGTTGTTGTTGTTGAGGTGGTGTCTTGCTCTGCCATCCAGTCTGGAGTGCAGTGGTGCCATCTCGGCTCACTGCAACATTCACCTCCCAGACTCCAGTGATCCTACCACCTCAGCCTCCCAAGTAGCTGGGACCACAGGCACATGTCACCACAACTGCCTGATTGTTGTATTTTTTGTAGAGATGGGGTTTTGCCATGTTGCCCAGGCTGGTCTTGAACTCCTAGACTCAAGTGAACTGCCTGCCTCAGCATCCCAAAGTGCTGGGTTTACAGGCACATGCAACAATGACCGGCTAATTTTTGTATTTTTAGTAGAGATGAGGTTTCACCATGTTGGCCAGACTGGTCTTGAACTCCTGACCTCAAGTAATTCGCCTGCCTTGGCCTCCCAAAGTGCTGGGGTTACACGTGTGACCCACTGCACCTGGCCCATTAATCTTAAATGTACAACTTTTTTCTATCTTCTTATCAAAATCAGGGAACCAGCAAATATCCAGAAATTCTAAAGAGAATAGAGGTGAGGAATCAAAAGTTCAAGTAACTCTTGGCCGAGTGCAGTGACTCAAGTCTATAATCCCAGCACTTTGGGAGGCCGAGACGGGCGGATCACGAGGTCAGAAAATCGTGACCATCCTGGCTCACACGGTGAAACCCCGTCTCTGCTAAAAATACAGAAACAAAAATTAGTTGGGCGTGGTGGCGGGTACCTGTAGTCCCAGCTACTTGGGAGGCTGAGGCAGGAGAATGGCATGAACCTGGGAGGCGGAGCTTGCAGTGAGCCAAGATCACGCCACTGCACTCCAGCCTGGGCGACAGAGTGATACTCTTCTCAAAAAAAAAAAAAAAAAAAAACACCACCAAGTAACCCTTGTTGTATATAAATTTAACATATACAATTTGAAAGTCAAGTGCGGTGGCTTACACCTGTAATCCCAGCACTTTGGGAGGCCAAGGTGGGCAGATCACTTGAGGCCAGGAGTTCGAGACCAGCCTGGCCAACGTGGTGAAACCTCTTCTCTAGTAAAAATACAAAAATTAGCCGGGCATAGTGGTGGGCACCTGTAATCCCAGCTACTCAGGAGGCTGAGGCAGGAGAATCACCTGAAACCGGGAATCGGAGGTTGCAGTGAGCCAAGATCATGCCACTGCATTCCAGCCTGGGTGACAGAGCTAGACTCCGTCTCAAAAAAAAAAAAATTGAAATTTATAGCATTAATAAAGTAGGGTACTAGCTCATTTCACATGGACAAAGCCTAAAAGGTGAGAAATTTTCAAGCAGGTGTATGACATAAAAACAACAACAGTAACCATAGTTACCATTTCTGATACAAACTGTGCCAGGCACTATGCTAAGTGCTTTGCATGCATTATCTCATTTAATTCCCCATTTCCCACCATCAAATCTACATATTTGCTCACATTAGAACAAATCCTCTTCCTACCTCCTTTTATACTTCTCATTTCTTCCTACTATATGCGATCTCCTTACACCTTCCCAGAAACCTTCCACTATTAATTATCCCTTCTCTCTCCTGTTTATTCAACATTCCCCGCTCACTGAGGTTTTTTTTTGTTTTGTTTTGAGACGGAGTTTCTCTCTTATTGCCCAGGCTGGAGTGCAATGGCAGGATCTCGGCTCACTGCAACCTCCACGTCCCGGGTTCAAGCGATTCTCCTGCCTCTGCCTCCCGAGTGGTTGGGATTACAGGTGCCTGCCACCACACCTAGCTAATTTTTGTATTTTTAGTAGAGACGGGGTTTCACCACGTTGGCCAGGCTGTTCTTGAACTCCTGACCTCAGGTGATCCACCCACCTCGGCCTCCCAAAGTGCTGGGGTTACAGGCGTGAGCCACTGCATCCAGCCTCGTTGACATATTTTTATTGACATTTAAATATGCTCCAGTCTCTCCAGTCTTACAAAAATGATTTCCCTTGAGTTCACATCCCTCTCCAGCTACCAACTAACACCCTTCTATCCGTTATAGCCAAACTTCTTGAAATAACTATTATTTTTCCATTTCCTCCTTCTTACTCCCTTTTATTAATATAACACACTCTAATCTGACTTCCTCAGTCTGTGGTGATAATGTCACCAATGACTATCAAATCACTAAATCCAATGGATACTTTTAGTCCTCATCTCACTTGACCTGTCAAGCAAAACATGACAAGAAATAATCCTTGAAATACTTTGATACATTGGCTTCTGTGACCTGTCATGCCTCTTCTTTGTCCTACTTCTCTGGCCATTCCTTTCAATCTCATTTTTATTTTTATTTACTTATTTATTTTTCTTTTTTTTTTTTTTTTTTGAGACAGAGTCTCGCTCTGTCGCCCGGGCTGGAGTGCAGTGGCCAGATCTCAGCTCACTGCAAGCTCCCCCTTCCGGGTTCACGCCATTCTCGGGCCTCAGCCTCCCGAGTAGCTGGGACTACAGGCGCCTGCCACCTCGCCCGGCTAGTTTTTTGTATTTCTTAGTAGAGACGGGGTTTCACCATGTTAGCCAGGATGGTCTCGATCTCCTGACCTCGTGATCCACCCGTCTCTGCCTCCCAAAATGCTGGGATTACAGGCTTGAGCCACCACGCCCGGCCTATTTATTTTTCAAATAAATCTTTTTAATATATTTTTTTGGGAGGATGACAACAATAGTATTATTATGATAGTATTAACTTTTCTTATTTTTATTGCTTTTATCAGTTAAAAAAGTAATAAACGGGTATTCTTACAAAGTTAAACATATAGGAATACACAAAGTAGAAAATTAAAGACTCTCTAATCCCATTCCCCTATAACTACCTGCAGACAGAATGGGAAGATTTCATCATAAATACAAAGAAGATACATGGAAAAAAATGGACAATTATTAACTCTAGGAAAAATATAATCATAGCATACTCCTCGGCTCAGAAGTGAAAAGTATTTACGTGGTCATTAAAAAAAATACATATGGCGATTCCCCTTCCTTTTTTTTTTTTTTTGAGAAGGAGTCTCAACTCTGTTGGCCCAGGCTGGAGTGCAGTGGCACAATCTTGGGCTCACTGCAAACTCCGCCTCCCGGGTTCACGTCATCCTCCCACCTCAGCCTCCTGAGTAGCTGGGACTACAGGCGCCCGGCACCACGCCTGGCTAATTTGTTTTTTGTGTTTTTAGTAGGAGATGGTGTTTCATCACGTGTTGCAGGATGGCCTCTATCCTCTCTACCTCCGTGATCCAACCGCCTCGGCCTCCAAAATGCTGGGATTACAGGCATGAACCCACACGCACGCTGGCTGTAATTTTTTTTTGTTTTTTTTTGGAATGGAGTTTCGTTGTCCTCTGTCGACCCAGGCTGCGTAGTGCAATGGTATGATCTCGGGCCGACTGCAATGTCCACCTCCCAGGTTCAAGCGGATTCTCTGCTCAGCGCATCCCAAGTAGGGCTGGATTCAGGTGCCTGCCACCATGCCCGGCTAATTTTTGTCATTTTTTAGTAAGATACCATGTTTCACCATGTGGTCAGAGCGGTCTCGAACTCCTGACTCAGGTGATCCACCCCGCGCTCCGGCCTCGACAAAGTGCTGGGACCCCAAAATTTTAACACAGCCACATTGGGAAGATTGAGGAAGGTAGGAGAAGTATAAGAGAACTGAAATATATCCCCTTATTCTTTATTAAGTGACAGAAATATATGTATTTGTATTTTAGCAACATGTATGCAACAATAGAGTAGTTTCTTCTAGGGATGGAATTGGTGCTATGGGTAGGGCCAGACAAATAACACCTGTGGT